AGTGAATTAGAGCTAGAGGGGTCAGCAAGAGAAAAAGGGCAGAAGCTGAGAAGGCTGAAACCCAGTCCTGGAATGAGGACAGGCTTGCTCTAAGACCTGCAGGCAGCCTCTTTCCTAACGAATCTTCACATCAAAGCCATGGTGGGTGAGTAAGGGTGGGGGACCCTAGAGTTGGAGCCAGGGCAGGAATTGCGTGGCCACCAGGGGTGGGGGGGGGAGGAGGGCGGAGTCGTGGCTGCCCCTGGAACAGAATCCTGTCACACATCCCCACACTACAAGCCCCAAATAAGCCTCCCTGCGTGGGACAGGATTTTCCTTGAATTCAGCTGACACCATTTTCTTAACTACAGGCTGCATCAATTTATCTTTTGCTTATGTGGAAGGGGAGAGTCTGCTGATGGCTCTGAAAGACGTGGCTTTGTCTTCAGGAAGGTAGGTGAGATACTGGATGCAGAAAAGGAAGCTTATGATAAATTACTCCTGGGAGGGGAAGGCTACCTACTGTTTGAATTGCAGACCTGGGAAAGGCTCTTCCATGACTTCTTGCTCTTGCATTTAATGAGTCTGAGATGTAGCTATACCATTTCTCTCTAAAAATGTTTTTTTGGGATTCTAGATTAAATCTGATCAGTAGGGATCCAGGTTTTCAGTTTCCCATGGGAACATGGAGAAAACCACAGGTTTCCCATCTTTATCAGAGAAAATGCAGATTTTCCCTTTTAGCAGAGAAACCCATGGGTTTCCCACTCGCAAAGAGTTCTGCAGACTGGCACAGTTCCAGTCTGCAAGAACTGATTGCAAAAGGGTCGGGAAACCCCCAGCCCTGCCCAAAGGGGGTGGGAGGGAAGGGGGAGGCCTGACGCTTTTAGTCAGTCCCAAGGCTTACCTCTAGTGCACTTACCTAACATTACAGGCTCCAGAAGGAAAGTGGGGCTTGCAGGGGGCTGGGGGTGTTGTGGACCAGGGCTGGGGGGAAGCTGGCTGGGGGCTGAGGGAGTGGGGAGGTGTTGGTAAATGACACAGAATGCCCGATTGGCTGCACATGAACCGCCAGCAGCGCTATCAGCCTGACCAGGCTCAGTGCCTCCATGTATGGCTTCCCTTAAGAGCCCATAGCGCCACTTGCGGTCCATGTACAGCTAGCCGAACACTCTAGCCAGGAGTGGGGAAGTGTTGGTGAGAGATATGGAGTGCCTGGCCAGCTGCACATGGACTGCGAGTGGCACTATGAGCACTTAAGGGAAGCCATGTATGGAGGGTTGGGGAGAGCTGTGGGTGGCCTTTAATTTTAATTATGGATTTTGGGGATTTTATCAGAGAATTTGTGATTTTTTTTTTTTTCTTTCTTTTTTTATCAGGGAAAACCAGGATCCCTGCTGATCAGTTGACAAGTAAAAAAAGTAGTTTTTTCTAACTGTCAGTCTCGTAGGCTCAGTTAAAAATCTAAGAGCCCATCTTAACTGTCTTGTACATCATTATTGGTATAAAGATTCTCAATCCAAATGCGTCCCTAAATGTGCAACCTCTGGGCTTCAATAGGATTTCATATAACTAACAGCATAACTGTAACATGATAGGGTTAGACAGGTATCTTCACAAACTGCAGGTTCTTATGTTTGATGCATAAGCAAGATGAGAATCCAGTACACTCCCAGAGCTGTGTTGGCTCTGCAAGACTGACACTAGTAAAGCCTCTGTAGTGCTGAAGTCAGCAGCTGTTACGAATAGAGAGACCCTGAATAGTACCAATGTACCATTTTTACTTTGCTTTTCAGAGCAAAGCAGTCTTTCAGATGTACGTTTTTTAGGGGAGGTGTGCAGGTATCCATTTTATAAGCAGAGCATTTTGAAAGAAAAGGCCCTTTGAAATCTACTTAATTGAATACCACATTGCCAAGAGGTCCTGCACTGAGAGATGTTATTTTAGCCCACATTATGCAGGTTATGAATTATGATTCACCTGGTCATCTTAGAAATCATCAAGCTGCTTGTATGTCTGGCTATGGCTAATGCTAGTCATTTTTTTTCATTTGAAAGGCCACTCATTTGTTTTAATTTCTTTAAGAAGAAAAGAAAGGCCAGAGCATTTTTAATGTATTAAAATCCTCTTCAAATCTAATATTTTGTGTTTGAACTTTATAAATGCATCCCTTTTGTACCTTAGATTTCCTTGCTGTAAAACTGGGGTGGTGGTACTTGGCCATCTTTGTGTAGTTCTGACACACAAGTTCCTTGAAGTGCTGAGTATTGTAAATGGGTGATCTCACTCAGGATTCCTGTTTTTCGTAAATGTTTCTTGCTCTTTGGATTCTGCTACTGTTTGTGGGTCAAGCAGTAGTTGCCATTGCCAAGTTTGTTTTACAGATTAGTCCACTGGTACACTGCCACTTTTTACCTTGATTTGCTCTGAAAGATTTCTTTATTCTTTTTTTCTGTCTGTTCTCCAGATCTTCATTTCATATCTACCTCTTTCAGCCTTGCTGCTGGGTGTTGGGGTGGTGTGGATGCTAAGGTGCGTGGTTGATAGCCTAGAGGTTGCAAGTTCAAGGCCATAGCAAAGTGCTTACAGCATAGCCATGTCAAATTCCAACAAATCCACAAATTCTGCTAAATACCTTGTGACAAGAATATAAAAAGGAAGGAAGCCCTGCTGCTGGTTGCATTTGAACTAACCTGCTTTTTTATCTGTCCTCATCTTCCTTTTTCTCACACTTTAACCTTATTAAACTTGCCTTCTGCTGTTCGTTCTTTTCTGTTGCTGCTCCTGGAATTCCCCAGCCTTGCAACAATTTCTGTTCATTTTCTCATCCCAGCTCCTTGTTTTAACTGGCTGTTTGGGCCAGGGTCTTAATGTAATTTTGTGATGAGTCATGGAAACCTAAGAGTCTAAAGGGAAAATATTATTTATTAGAGAGTATTGATGTAGTATGGAATGTTACTTTTTTCATTTTCTCACACACATCCTAAATTGAAAGTTAAAATGTAAAATTATAATTTGGTTAGTGCTTGCACATCTGCCTCTCTGGAGCCATCCTATGTTTTACGAGCGATTGGGACTGATGAAGACTTGGCTCACTCCTCCATAAGGTAAGTACCATGAAACTTTGGACTCTTCCAAAGTCTGTTCCCTTTCCTAGACTGAAAACAGGATTTGTTTCTCTTATCCCACATGCACTCACTATGTTATCACTTACAGGTCTTATTTTTGTTTTAGATTTGGCATTGGTCGTTTCACTACAGAAGAAGAAGTAGACTACACTGTACAGAAATGCATACAGCATGTCAAAAGACTGAGGGAGATGAGGTGAGCCACTTCTCTAATGAGTGTAAAGGACACTGGATACTGTAGGCTTCGTTTGGGTTTCCTCAAATTGTGCTGCTGGTGTCGTCCTCATTTTAGAAGTGAGATCCATTTGACAAAGTACTTAAAATCTGGTGGCCCCTTTACACACAGCCACCCATTGTTGCTAATATCGGTGCTGACTTGGATGCTCTGAAAAGATGGATCAGTTCATACTTGCCCTGTGTCTTATACATGTCAAGTGCCCCACTACTTGTCAGTGCCAGATATGGGATACTAACAGAGACAGATCTTTCATCTGACCTACATGACCATTCTTAGGGTACTATCAAAAGTGGAGCTAAGTTAAGTTAGCAATGAATGTGGTATGTACAAGACTTTGGAGTAGAGGATTATCCTTTTAAAGAATTCTCCCATCTGCCTGGTGAACTCTTTGGAGATGAATCATGCTTGTTGATTATTGTCAGTAATGCTATTTTTCTTGGTGTTCCAGATCAAATCTAATTTTTCTTTTTTTTTTTTCTTTCCGTCTTTACAGTCCTCTATGGGAAATGGTGCAGGATGGAATTGACCTCAAAAGCATTAAATGGACCCAGCACTAAGAAGGCAGTTGAGTTCTAACCCTGGACTAGATGGATTTGAAGTCAAGTACATTATGTATATTCCTGAGCAAAATCATGTGGCACTTTCTAAAATCAATTTCATTTTGATGGCTTGGGGTTTTCTAAAGCCTAAATCCTAAAATTAAAAAGGGGGTAAAATTTGGTTAGGACGCTTCCATTTCATTATACATGCGCACAGAGAAAGTTGCACTCTGACCTGGGGTCCATGGAATTTTATTTTCTTATGTAAGAGTGTTGTTTCATCCTTTAGCCATGCTATTTCTTAGTACAGAAGAATCCCCCCCATTAGGAAATTCCTTCTTGGTACAGTATGTCTTCTGCAATTGCTTTGCTTATGGCAAAACTCTATTACCAAGAAACTTGTTCCACTTTCGTGACTTATCTGCAACAGGGATATTAGCCTCAGTAGCAAACACCTGCTTTCTGTGTTATTTAGATAAATAGTTTGCTCAGAAATTAATTATTTTACAGAAGGCTAGTCAGCACTTCTTAAGGAAACTGAAATCTTAATATATGGACTTCTGGTGGTGGTGGATGCTCCATTGTGTTAATTATACCTTCAGAGTTAATCTGCACACTGTTAAGAACCCTTTCTTTAACTAGAGGTTTTGCCTTTTCACTTAATTTTAATGTGTGATTTTTTTTTTTTTGCAGTTTTACCTCTTTTTACATTTATTTTTTTCCTAATCCTCATACAGACCAGCATGGATTAACCCAATGCATCCTTCTCTCTTTCCCAGTCTAGGGTATGATGGTGCACTGTGTTCTCCCCATCACTGTTTCTTTTCCATGAAGTCTATTTTCTTGAAAGTAAAGAGAAAAAATGTTTAATGTATTTCTTGGAGGGTTGCAGAATCCCATGGCTTGTTTGAATAGGAGTGGTGAGAAAGAAAAAGACACCAGTTGTAATTCACTGTAAATTTCCTAATGCTGTTTCTGTTTTCTTTTTGGTGATGGAGCCCTTTTCTCCTCCCATTTAAGGATCTGACCATGTGCAATAGTCTTCTTAATGGGGCTAAGTATCTTTTTCTTAGCTTTGTCTTTCAAATCTGAATATTTTGCTAGCAGGTACAGATATATGAAACTCAATGGAGACTTCTTGATGCTTAACTCCCTTTTTACTGAAGACATGTATAGGTATGGCATCTATTCTATTCAGTTAAAGGGCATCTTTAATAACTAATTAAATTTCAGTGTTTTAGCTCCTTACTTCATTAAGACATTTAGATAGAGAATTTAATGCTATGTTCTAAAGTGCCTTTTTGTTACCTGGCTTACATGTATGCATACTACTTCTCAGAAAATAGCTGGTCCACAATTGAATGCTTTACTTGGCACTGGATCTAAGGCATCTTACCGGCATGTCTCCTGTTGTGGACAGTAAAAAAACACCTCTTGTGTCTACCTCAGATGCTCACCACAAATGAAAGCACTCTCCTTGAAGCTAAATTTCACTCTGCAAGATGAGGCGTATTGTAGAGTCCTGCACAATCTGATCACATAGCCTTTGGCTTTATCACTTTTACCATCAGTGATAGAATTAGCCCTTTATAGTGGGTGCAGATATTGCTGGGTCATTTTTCATTTGAAGTGGTTACTGCCTTTACTAGTTCTAATATTGTAGTGGTGGCAATTTGTAATGCATCATCATAAGCTTTTAAAGACTTTTCAGTTGTCTATCTGGTTTTCAAAGTAATTGTAATGTGTACTTTTTTTCTGTGTAGCTTGTTTGTAGCTTGCATACAGTTGCTGGAGTAACCATGTAATAATACTTTGCAAGCCTGTTTTAAAAACTTATTTTTGTTAAATTGTTCTGTTTTGCTCCCTAAATTATAAATCTTTTATATGACTTAAATTTGATAATTTTCAGTCTGTGTGTCGGCACAGCTCAGGATAGGGCCGCAACCCTATGCCCAACCGGACTGGGCTCTGGGGGTGCAAGTACACTTGATCTAGCCCTACCACCAAACTACCCAATTCTCGCCTGCCATGACTTAATGTTGGCTGATACTTTAATTGGGAAGTGTTCAGTTCCACCACAACTTGTCTAGCATCCTCTTCCTAGCATCAGATCCTTCTTCTGGGGCTCCTACCTCCCCTATACTGCATGCATGCGCCACCTTGGATCTGACTGGGGGACTTATTGCCTCATGGTCGCTTTGAGCCTGTCTCCCCTGTATGATAGGCACCGGAGCCTGAACAGTCCCTTGTCAAAGTGTCATGAATGTGAAAAGAACTACAGAAGACACAGGACATTCAACTTGAATTCAGGTAAGTCCTTTCAGTGCTTTAGGCCCTGCAGCCTACAGGTGGAGTCTTTCTGCTGCAGCGCACTCAGACCCAGAGGACTGTAGAGGCTCTCCCCTTTTCGCAGGGTCCTGCTTCCTCTGGAACAAAAATGTAAGTAAAAAAAAAAAAAATGTGGCTAGGCTTGCCTCACTGTAGTGTGAACGTCCCCCAGCCCTGGGCGCTTCCATGCTGGCTTAGCGCCTCTCAGCCAGGTCTGCACACCTCTGGATGTGGGCCTTTTCTCAGCCCTAACTCGCTATGTGGGCCTGGGTATGGGAGCATGGCATCCACCCCGCATCTCTCCCCTTTTCCTTGGCCCATCGCTGGTTCCTCCCCTCCTTGGTCTTGAAGTCGGGGTCCAGCCTGGCCAACTGCCCTCTGGCCAACACCATGAAACAGGGAAAAAATGGAAAAAACAAACCAGAACCTTAAACTGAGTATGGCTGCTTCTCCCATGGCCGGCTTGTCCCCGGCAAGGCTTCCTACCAGCTTCTGCCGCTTTTCCTGCTGCAGGCTCAATGCTGGTGTCTCCTGGCTTACTGGAGTCCCTCTGAGCTCCTACATTAGCAAGCAGCCAGCTCCCCATCCTCTGGAATCTGTCCTTCAGCCTCCCGGTGTTCTTGCATGTGGGTGCTCTCTCCCCGCCCATCTTGCACTCCCTCCAGTCTTCACGGCAGGCCAGAAATACCCATGCAGCTGCAGAGCAGTCTGATTCAGACTAAACAGCTGCTGATAAAATGTGGTTCCTGCGGCATCCTTTTTCCTCCTGGTGTTGCTGGTTCCGGTGCAGCAGGCAGGTCTCCTGCTGCTGCAGGTTTGGGCAGGTTTTTTTCTCTCTTCTCCATGGTTTGGTGGCAGTTACATATTTGGAGAAAAACAGTATATAAAATTGGTTGTTACTTACTCTTCAGGTCTGTTTTGGATATTCAAAATTTTGGATGAAAACTTAGGAATAAACCTGTTCTGAATGTGCATGCCCCTTGGTCAATATCAGTGTCATCTCAAATGGAGGGGGATGGTAAGCCTCCAGAGTGGTGCACCTGAAAAGAAGGAAATGGAAAAAAAAGTTATCCAGTCTATCCTGTACCTGCTTCTCAGTCATGGTGGGTAGGAGCCATGGAAGGGGGCAGAAACTGAAGTATCTTCCTAGTCAGACCCCTCTGAGTCTTTGATGGCCTTAGGGTTAACCCTAGAGTTGCTGGTGAAGTAAGGTTTCATTAATTCCCTGCCAGAATCTGTGATGGCTCCTAAATCATATGTGCAAGTCACCCTCTGAGCATCTGAGACCTGACTGACATCTTGGGCCTTCTTATACTGTGCACTTTTAGCACTTTTTGGCCTTGTCAAAGCACTGCCAATCTTGGTTGCACCCCCAAGGAGCCATTTTGGAAGTAATACATTCATAGATGGCATAGGTATGGTGGCTTATCTGGAGTGAGTGTTAGGTGTCCCTTTCACCCTAGATGGCAAAGAGGTCCCTCACATCAGTCTGTTTCCAGTTAGTAGACAACTTCTGCTGCATCTATGAAGATAGTGGCACTAACATTGTGCACACAGCTGCTGTTGACATGCTTGAAATGGGTCTTCAACACTGTTCCACTGTTCTGGGCAGGAGAATCTCCCAGTTTGCCTCCAGCAAAATAAGGATACCTCTGTGCCTGCCAATAAAAAGTAGAGATCATAAGCCAGGCAGGTCTTATGACCCAGGAGTTCAGTGTAGTAGGTAATGGAAGCACGTCCTCAGAGCACTGTGGGGGGGGTGGGGGTGGAAGCAAAGCACTGTGGGATGCCAGAAGACCCAATTTCTACTGCTTTCTGTTGGAGCATGCAAAAATAACATGAAGCACTTCACAACAAAGCAGTTCCTGTTTCTTCTGGGAGGATGAAGCGCTTCACAACAAAGCAGTTGTTCCTGTTTCTTCTGGGAGGATGGGGGTCATCTTTGAAATGCAATGGCTGTATTTGAACTAATTCTGTTTAATCCAGTGCTTCTCAAAGTGGTGGTCTGCAGATTGGTGCCAGTCCACGAGCCACTGGTCACCGGTCCGCAGCGAGTTGCCAGGAAAGAAAGAAATATATTTTCAGAAGCATAACATTGATATGTCATAGTGCCACAGTGTGTACATTCCAACACTCCAGGTGACATCACGTCATGCGAGGTGAAGAAAGAGAAAGAAACAGCCGGTTGCGCATTTGTGTAGCGCTGTTGCACGCAGTTGCTGCCACCGGCTAAACCGGGCACTGGAAAAAAAATTGCCAGTCCGCCACATCAGGTAGTTTGAGAAGCACTGATTTAATCCACTGCATGTCTCCACTCTCACTTGCTAGAGCCCTTTAATGGTACTTGGAGAACTTTGAATATTGTAGCAGTCCATGCCCTAAAGTATCAAAATTTGGGTGTCTTTTCTATGGGTATCCATTTCAGCATCCAATAATGAAAATGCATGCAAATCTGGGCAAAATTAAAAAATTTTGAAGGTATACTTCCAGTTGTGTTGACAAGAGAAGTGAGATAGCAAAAAATACTGGAAGTGAACCATGGGCTGCAGATTCTGTGGCAGCTGGGTTACAGCCTACCGGGCAGGGGAGAGCTTTTTCAAATGGGACACCCTATATTTCACAGATGAATGAGGGGCCATTAATCTCAGTTGTAGACTGTATGGAGCAACAGTGTGGGCATTACATTTAATAATGTAAGGTGTTGGGGAGGTCAAAGGAAAAATGCAAACTAAGTCTTGGTGTCTTAAGGAAAAAAAATGAACCAATGTGAAAAAGGATGCAAGGAAAAGAAAAGTAATTGTAATGTTACCTTAATTGGTCATACTTTGTTTAGGAAGGATGAATTTTGGTGCAAGCGGTGGATGGCACTCTCCATTAGACACTATTGCCTGTTTTAGAGTTATCAGCAACTCAGAAGCACCAGATCATGAGAGTACATGATTAATGTACTAACAAACCCCAAGAAAAGATATAGATTAGGGTCTGTTAAAGATGGGAGCAGCCAGCACCAGTTACTTGCAGCTGCAGGACTGTACCATGCTTCACCTGTCCCCAGGGGTGATGCATAGCAGGTGCGTGGGGTTGCATGTGCACCCCCTGAGTGCTGGTGCACCCCTTGTCCAGTTGCGCTCCCTGTATAGCTGGCAGGCAGGGGGGCAGGTGGTAGCAACAGTGCCCCCTTCCCAGTGAGTGCCAGCTGGGAAGCAGAGCTGCCACCAAAAGCTGCCATACTGCTTCTAGAAGTGGCGGCAGGAGTTCTGGAAGTGGTGTGGCCACTTTTACAGTGGGTGTGATCGGCCAGCGGGATGGACCACCGGGGACCACTCCCAGCCCCCCTCCCCCAGTCAGCAAGGTAGGCCACCAGGGGACCCCCCTGCCCAGTCACTGACTGGTGGAAGGGGGGGCACATGCCCCCTGACACCCATGCCCTTCTCCCCGCACCTGGGCTCACCCTAGCTCCTGAGCTACACCATGCCGTGGTGCAGGCAGCTGGTGTCAGCTGCTCCCAGGGCCATTCCAGCATGGGCTGGGGTGAGTGCGGACAAGTGGAGCCCTAGGCGGTGTAGGGCACAGCACTTGCCCCAGCCCTGGCTGCAGTGGCTCTGGGAGCAGCCAACACCAGCTGCTTGCACCACGGTACGGTGCAGCCCAAGAGCAGAGGTGACTGGGGACAGGCAAAGCACGGTGCAGCCCAGCGGCTGCAGGCAGCTGGTGCCAGCTGTTCCCAGGGCTGCTGCAGCTGGAGCTGGGGTGAGTGCTGCTCTGTTCCCTCTGTTTTGCTGCCTTGTGCAGCCCCGGGAGTGGCACCGTTCCCCCAGCCCCTTCCCTAGTCCCAGCCTCATTCCCTCCCTCCCTCACTGCCATGGCAACCTATCCCTATATGTTACATTGTAAAGTGGGTTTAATATGTGCGCTGTTCTCTGGGAATGCATGTACAGCATAAATTGAGGGAAACCTGTAAAATAAAAGGTTTAGTCTGTGTGTCTGTCTGTCTATAACACTTTCGGGCAACTGCGCATGCGCTGCTGAGCAGGTGGGCAGTTACTGGCTGTGCAGCCCAGGCTGTGCATGCCCAAGTTGCCAGGGAAGTTTGTGGCGGCAGTGAACACACCCCAGCCACCTAAGCAGCAGCACTTCCCTCCCTGCCTCGCTGCCTGAGGGCAAAGGGGGAGAATCACAGTGGTGGCACCTCCCCCACTGGCCCCCAGAACAGCCAGCAGGGAGAGGAAGGTGGCAGGCAGAGGAGGAGGGAGGCTGATGTGGAGCGGGGTTGGAGCTGGACTGGCAGGTAGAGTGGGCCTAGATCCAGAGCAGCAGGGGAGGCAGGGGTAGAGTGGGGTTGGGCCTGGAGTGGCCAGGGGGTGGGGAGAATTGAGTGTGGCCAGAGCTGGAGTGGTGGGGAGGGTGGGTGGAGCGGGGCTGGACCCAGAGCACCAGGGTGGGGGCTGGACCCCAAGTGGTGGGGGTGGGGAAGAGAGTTGATTGGGCATGGACCCAGAGCAGTAGGTGGGTGGTATGGGGCTGGGGGGGGTATCCCCCCCATCATCTTCATGGGCAATTTGCTAGTAACCGCTTATGTCTGCCTAGCTACTGGCCCTCTGCACCATACAGATTCTCACCTATCCCATTTGGGGAGATTAAGGAGAGAAAAGTGGCACACAAACTGGCAATAAGTTTTCTTGTATTTACAATTTTCCTCTCCAGTTTACATACCATATTGATACAAGGCTTATTCCAACACATTTTATGATTGGTTTATTAAAAATGTTTGATTCACTGAAACTTTGGGAATCAGACTGGACCAGTTTCTCTCTAGTCTTAGAACATGTCAATTAGATGGTATTTATGTTCTTGTGAAAATTAAAATTTTTGGTAGAGAATTTCTTATCTCCTTCCTTCACTATCTTGGAATGCTGCTTTCCACTGTACTGTTTTCTTTTCACCTTGGTTTATGGTTTTCACTGGCAAAGCTGCTTCATTCTTACAACTCAGAAATATAATGCAAATATTTCTATTACAGAAAAAGTATATCTGATATATTTGGTTATATCAATCCTTATTACTACTAACGTTTTTAAGTTGAAGCTATATTATACTACAATGGAAACACAAGAATGGCAAGAAACTAATGTAGCTACATAAGGAGCTTCTAGAAGGCCTCGTGCAAAAGGAAAGTATACAGGCAATGGAAGAATAAGCAGCACGCAGGGAAGTAGCAAGAGACAAAAGGGACAAAATCAGTACGGCAAAGGTAAAAAGCGAGCTTTATCTGGTGAGGGAAGTTAAAGACAATAAGAAGAGGTTCTATAATTGTTGGCCAGAAAAGAAAGACAAAGAAAGCTCTGGGTTTACTGTTAAATAACCAGGGTGAACTCTTAACAGAAAATGTAAAGGTGGAGCTGCTCAACAGCTACTTTGCCTCAGTCTTCACACAAAATTAGGCTGCAACCAGACAGCTAATAAGGATTGTCATTCTAATATAATAAAGGGCTTAGTCCACCCATCTGTCTGTCCATAATGCTCTTTGGAGCACTCAGATTGGTTACTCAAACAACCAATCAGAGTACTCCAAGAACATTCTGGACAGGAGGCAGCAAAAAAGAGATGATAAAAAAGGCCAAAAAACTCAGCTGAGCCTTTTGATGGGTATGAATTAATTGAATAAGTGCTTAAGAGGGGATAGCAAGGAAAAGGATGCTATCTTAAGCAGCAGTCTTAAAGGGCTGTCATAAAGAGGGAGAACACCTTTTCTCTCTTGCTGCAGACAGCAAGATGCAGACCATTGGCTAGAAGTTACAGCAAAGTAGGCTTATAGTAGATATCAGGGGGAAAAAATCTTCACTTTTAGAACAGTGAAGCAGTGGAATAGACTGCCTAGAGATAACTGTGGAATCTCCATTTTTGGAGGAGTTCAAGAAGAGGGGTGCTTCCAAAAATATATTGGGGTCATTGATGGTACCCACATTTCCTTGTATCTGGTACACATTGACCATCAACTGCAATGGATGAGGCTCCATTATGTTGCAGAGGGTCTTGGACTGCTGAGGATAGCTTACCCCCACGACTGTTAGGGGGGCAGTTGAGGTATACAACACTAGGGTCTCCCACCTGCTCCCCGGCTGACATGAATGTTCCCCATGGCACTCCCAGCCCCAGATTGGAAGGGAGTAACTATCCCAGTCTTACTTGGAGATTTGGTCCATCCACTCCTCCCATAACTCTTGAAGGTCTACACCTGATACCAGGAAGGAGCTCTTCAACTGGCTGAGCAGCTGCTGGGTGACTCTGGAGTGTATGTTTGAGTGCATCAAAGCATAGAGGCAGCCACTGTGGGTGCATCTGGATGCTAGAGTGGTACAGTGCCAAATGGTAATTTCAGCCTGCATCTTGCACACCTGTGAAACCACTGGCTTGACCTTTCTGGAAGCCTGGAAAGTAAAGATCCAGAAGCTTGACAGCTGGTACCAGGCCCCAGAAACAGCCTTGTGAGCACCACAGATATGAGGGCCTTCTTGTTTGTGAGGCCCTGGCTAGCTCTTTTAGTGGTTCTGGGCTACAGAATGGGAAGAGGGCACCACCGTGTAAGGTTCAAATGAATGCAGATTTGACTAGTGCCAGATTTAGGCTTAAGCTACAGTTCAGGGCCTCACAATATGAGAGGCCTCTAAATAAGAAAAAAAAAAAAGACTCAATATCAAGTTTTATAATAATCGGCTGGTAAATAAAGGAGATATGGGACAATGACTGTCTAAATATGGACATTTTCATTCTAATATGACAAAAATATATACAAACATTGGGTTATTTTAATCATATGGGGCCTCTTAAGCTGGACATAGTTTATGGCCTCAGCATGTCATAATCCAGCGCTGGATTTGACTTTACATATGTGTGTACCAAATGCACTTCACATTAAACAATTATAACATGGAAATAGTGCGTGGGGTTCTGTAGCAAGGTTTGGGTTGCAGGAGCAGCTGTGACATCCCTCAGGAACCTTGCAACCCTTCCCTGCTCCAGCTCTAGGGTGCCCTCCCCTTCTCACCACCCCTTAATGTATTTGTTTGATCAAAAGGGAAGATGCCTTAGGGTCTTAGAGCAAGTCCCAGTTCTCCTAGTCACCAGCAGGTCCCTCCTGGACCTCACTGGTCTCCATTCTGCCCCTCTTGAGCTAAGTGTGTCCTCCTGACCTGCCCCTGCCCCCCACAGGGTACCAGTAACCTTAAGAGTTATTATGTGGGCTCCCCAATACCCATGCCTTACAGTTACTGTACTATTACTACCTCATTAGGGCCTTGGCTTTCTCAGCTTCCACACATTTTCTCTAGCTGCAAGCCTCCAGATTCAGGTCTGGCTACCTCAGCCTCAGCCCTGTCAGTCATTAGGATCTCTGAGCCTCTAGCCCCAATACCACCCTTCCTTGGGAGCTGGGCCCCCTGGCCCTGGTTCTACCCTTTTCAGGCTGAGCCCCTTGGCCCAGTCTGGCTTTCATCCTTGCTAGTCTTTGGCCACTTTTTCCAAGCTTCCATCTTCTGGCTAAGCCTTCCCTGTGCCTTGAGTCCCTAGTAGAGCTCAAGACACCCCCATACCCCCCAGACACAATTAGAACCTCCACCCTCCCCCAACAGTCCCAAACTCAAACCACCAGTTAAAACTAAAACCAAAAACATAAACATTCTGGCTATAACTAAGTCTCTAACCTCCTGGCTACATACCAAAACTCCTACCCAGCCATAGGCCTTAGTCTGCTACTAGTCCTCAATCCCTTCACTTGCTGCTTTCAGGCATATTATGCACAAGTCTCTCTCAGCAATAGGCTTTATATACATACATATACACACATATGTATATAACCATGTAAATATATATATATACCAATCCTGTTACAGAAAAGAAAAAAAAAAAAAATCGCACCCGTACAAAGGCCCACTGGCCACCCGTACCCATTGCGATGTCTGCAACTGCACGCAAAACACACAAAATACACACAAAGCCCTTTCTGGTATTTCACCAGAGTTCTTCCCTTTTCAGCCTCCAGGGCCAGACTGACTCCAGCCCTTGTTTCTCTCTCACAGGCCCTGCCCTTTTCCACTTAGGTGATGTCACAGAGCTGGCTGCAGGTACCCTCTAATTAGAGCTTATCAACTGGTCTCCATGGAAGCTTACCTGTAGCACTGCTTTGTCTCCCCTGGAGGACTCCAGACTACAATCCCATTGTGGAGCAGCTAGCCCTGCAATTGGCTTCCTATTGCTCACATGAGGATTATCCTGCTTCCCTGGGCCTGTCTCCTGCAGCTTCTCCCTCACAGTCTTCCTCACCTGAGGCTCAACCTCAGCTCTTGCTGTCTTAAAGTAACAGAGAGCCTGAGGCACCCTTCGAAGAAGAAAAGTTCTGTGCAAACATGAGAGAAGAGGATAAGGGTATTTCAGCCTAGAGTGGAAGAAGGCATGCACTCCCTACAAGTGGCACACAAACAGCCCAATACCCTTGCCAGCACCTTACCAAATCTATTTTACCTTTATGGTTTTTCAGAGGTTGAACTTTGCTGTCCTCTGTGGTCTAGAAAGGCGGAAAACATTGCTAAGATCCCTTAACTCTGTATTAATATATATATTTTCTCTTTTGTCTGTGAATAATGGTCTGGAGCCCAGAGTGATGGATTATTGAGGGTATGTTTAAGACTTTCTAGCTCAGATTGGAAACACATGTCATTAATGGGTGTATAACAGGGGTTCTCATGTGGAGACTGAATGGAATCAAGGGAGAAGGAAAGTTCTCTTTGGAATAAGAAATGGGATCCCTTCCACAATCATTTCAAAGCTAGTAGAATATATAACTAGTCAAATAGTAATGCTTTTTCATAATGAATTGCTTCTACTTTAAATCAGAGATGCCAAAGATGCAGCCCATGGACTGAGTGTGGTCTGCAGAGCCCCATCATCTGCCAACCTCTCCCCCCACCCCATGCTGCCCCTGGGTCTAGAGTTGACCCCCACACTGCATTCACCAGGCACCAGACCAGCCCAGTGCACAGGGCCCAGGACATACTGCATGTGACAGCCACTCCATTTAGCCCTGCACCTGTGCTGTATGTGGCACCCCTTAAGCCACTCTGGGGGGGCCCTGTGCAGCACATGTCCCAGACTGGCCTAACACACGTTGGATCCTGCATGGGGAGTTGCAGTCCGTAAGGCCATTCAGTTGGGCCAAATGCGTTTGACACCCCTGCTTCGTATGCCGGTATTTTCCTAACTGTGATGCCTAGCGGTACTTTACCTGGAGGTGGAGGAAGGGCTTTCAGGTGCTTTTGCTTATGAAGTCTACTGGATTTTGCAGTTTAGAAGGCTAAGGCTGCCGGCGAGGCATCAGGCAGGCCCAGGACCGCGGGCGAAGGCGGAAAAACACGGAGCTCAGCCCGGAAACCAGAGGCGGAGGTCCCAAGCCCTCCAGAACCGCTAGTCCCGTCAGAGGGCAGAGGGGTAACGACCCGGAGCCAAGAAGCCTTCTAGGGAGGCAGCTCCAGGCCGCCGCTTCCCAGCCTGTGGGGCGTGATGGAGATGGAAGCGGTCGCGGCAGGGGCCGGCCAGGCAGCGCGACCTGGGGCATCCCAGCAGCCTGACACTAGCACGGCAGCGCGTCGTCCAGCACCTGCGGGCACCCAGCAGATCGGGGCGGAGCGGGGCGGGGCTGGCAGCAGCGCCTCCTGGCCCCGCCCAGCAGGCGAGCGCCACCGCGG